AAACATTTATTTTAATTTGTTGGATTTTTTTTTTGTTTATAATGAGGTATTATGTTGTTAAATTAGGGTTTTTTTCTACAGTAGAATTTCCCTAGAAATCTTATTTAAGGCAACACAACGTTTGCCGGGTCAGCTAGTAATTTATACGTTTGTCAACTATATGAGTTTTTACTATCAACAGCGAGTACATTTGATGTAGGAAGTGCTGGCAATCAATTCCAGTATTAAATAATTTTATACTCAATTAAGATGCCCTCTCGAAGCATGCGTTCATAAAAATATCTCCGAATCAAGTATGTCGGGAATATGGTTTGGACTGAAATTATTCCTTTTGTGGTCGGAGAGTTATCAAATCAAGATATTTAGAATGTTTTTTTCTATTACTTCTAAATGACTAAGACATATTGATAGCACGGCTCACATACAGAATCTTGAGAGATTTTGACAGCTGCTGTTAGATTTAGGTTTTTTAAACCATTTTAGTGTTTCCACTAAAGGAATCACTCAAAGCTCGGGAGTAGCCGCCAAATTTTCTAATTTTTGTTTCGAGAAAATGTTTTGTTGTTTTTTTTTGATGATTAATAGGCAAATTAATTCGTTTGCTTCTATGTTATGTTCTCACGATAAAAAAAACATGTAATATTTCGGAAATTAAGTAATAAGAAAATTACAAGAGTTAATTTCTTTCCAGATATAGAGCGTTCTATGATGAGTAGTTGTGAGGAAATAATCATTTGTTTTAGACTTTTTTTATTTCAGCCGTCACATGGAAATATTCATAGGGTACAGACCTAAACAATAAGAATAAATAAAAAGTACATTTGTCACAACAAAGATTTTCATTGAAATTTTACGGTTTAAAATTTTAATGAAAAACCGCCTTTATTTTTCTTGTGTGCGTATCTCGGTATCATTGTCCCAAGTTCGACAAAAATCGTGTCCATTTTGAGGCTGCCACGTTTTTACGAACTACGAATTTCACTCACAAAACACAAAAAAAATGTTTTGGTCCGATTTCGTTATTGGGAACCGCCCTAAAAACAGACGCTCTTTATAATTATGCAAAGAGATCCCAGCGGAAATGGAAAGCGTTTTTTATTTGTCAGACGAAGCGTTTTGGCGAGTTCATAAAAATGAAAACTGAAGGTAGGTAGTGATCGCCCATTTTTAATTTCGGATACATTCAGTGCAGTTTAAAAACTTGACTTAAATATTGACTGATACGTGTCATTATCATTTGTCTAGGTTTTAGGCAGTATAGTTTAGTATATACCTAATGTTGGACCCAAAAACACTGGCTTCATCTATGTCGCGCGCGGTAAATTTTTATTTAATCTGTGGTTTGTTTGTTTCCGTAAAATCTACACTAAATTAAGCCTTTCTTAAATTTGATTACAGTTCTTTATATTAGAATTTGTTTTGTGAGTGAAATCATTAAAATAGTATAATATATATTTCGATATTAGACTTCTAATTGGTGCAAATAGAGCGAGGCGTGTCGTTCGTCCCCCTCGCACTCGCACACGACGTGTTTAATGCGAGAGTGATAGCAATAGGGTAACTTCGCTGCGTAGTATTTTTAGGGGTATTTCTAAAATTTTTGTACTATGTTTTGCTAAATTTTTTTCACTTGAAAAAATTAAAAAACTAATTCATAAATTAATTATAATTATAGATACGGACACACGCATTATTAAAAATAGATGTATTTTTAACGGCAATTTTTTTGTTATTTGTAAACACGAAAAAAAAATTTTTTTTTGTGTGTCGTTGCGTTTTTGTAGAATGTCGGGTGTAATGAACACATAGAGAAATGTATATTAACCATTGTTTTATATAAAGTTGTGTGTAAACAAGAGAACATATTGTTCTCGATTCGAAAAAATATTTTTACACATACCCAGAACATATTCAAGAAAAAAATCTATGAAAGTATGCAAAATATATAGAACTTATAATGTAAAAAAAAAAAAACAGATTATATTACATATTTCTTATGGACGGGTCGATTGAAAACGAGTTACAATAAAAACAAAAACAAAAACAAAACCAGTCGACGCTTCTCAATCGACCCGTACATAGCTTTGTTGATTTATAAATAAAATATATTTAAATAAAATAATTTAATATATAAACAAAACATTGTACCTTAACTAGTTGACGGGTGAATTATGAACCAAACAGTAAAATAAATGTTATTTGTTTTTATTCTTGAATCACTTACAATGCGGTTTTATTTTATTTCATCTTTTTTTTTTTTCCTACCTAAGCTGATGATAGCCTTGAGAGGCTATTTCAGCGTAACCGTGGCTAGTAGGTGAGCTCACGAGACTCAAACCTGTCGACGATGCTAACACGAACCCTAGCAAGAGCCGTGCTTCGAAGAATCTACCACCGGATCGGAAACGCGACCCACTGAGAAGATCCGGCGAGAAACTCAGTGGGCTGTGTCTGAGAGTTAATTTACTCGTCGAGCCCTAGCAAGCGACGGGTTCGACGAGAACGATGACCGGTGCTTGAAGTACCCAAAAGCACCGTTAGTGGATCGGGAGGATCCGAGATGACGTGAAATTTCATCACCTTACAGATCCGGCACTTGTATGCTGTTACACCGATTTGTCTCCAGAATTTCTTTAACACTAAACATACCATAAAGAGTCAAATGACCCATTTTGAACTTTTGCATTGAAAATGCACGTACCGTCTTATTGTTTTTGTACATTTCATGACTTTTTCTTATCAATTAATCTACAGTTAATAAACAAATTTTTTTTATTTGTTATTTTGCGTAATACTAATTGTCGTGTACAGTTATCTACCCGCTACCTATGATAGTATGATAGAAATAGATATTATAAGTAAGTTATAGTATTACAATTGTTGATCGAAGGTTGGTATGATGTGTTAAAAAGGCGCGAAGAAATTCACAGCCGAGATAACGTTCCGCCTAAGCGCGCCAAAAGTTCTCGTTTGTGATTGGTTGATTTATGCGCGCCATGTTTGCACACTGCGGCCGAGCGAGATAGCCCTAGTCTCTGTTTTTGTTGTTTTAAAACCTTATTTCTATCAACTGAAAGTCTATATTCTAAAAGTGTCAGCATTTGGCTTAAGCTCTCTTTTCTATGAACGAATGTTACATCATCATCATCATCATCATCAGCCTTTATCTGCCCACTGCTGGACATAGGCCTTCCCCAATGCCTTCCACATAATGCGGTCCTCCGCCTTCCGCATCCAACGACTTCCCGCCGTGCGCACTAAGTCGTCAGTCCACCTGGTTGGAGGACGCCCCACGCTCCCTGTACCCATCCGTGGCCTCCATTCGAGGACTTTCCTCCCCCACCTGGCGTCGCTGGCTCGACAGATGTGACCGGCCCATTGCCACTTCAGCCTGCTAACTTTGAGAGCTATGTCGTCGACTTTGGTTCTCCGTCGAATTTCTTCGTTCCGGATTTTGTCCCTTAGAGAAATACCTAGCATAGCTCTCTCCATCGCCCGCTGTGCGACTCTTAACTTATGGGCGAGCCCTGCCGTCAGTGTCCAGGTTTCCGCGCCAATGCTACATGCAGATCATAATTAAGAAAATGGTAGTACTAACGTATTTAATTACTAAGAAGCCGACCCTGTACTTATCCGAAATTACATTTAAAAACCAAAAGAAAACGTATATATAAAAATCTATACATACCTGTCGAGGCAGTTTTGGAACTGTTTCCAAAACTGTTTTTAGTCAACTTTACACGAAATGATCATATTAACAAAATAGATCATGTAACATTAAAAAAACAATAGATCTACATCTTAAAATATCAGTGATTATAGTCCTATTTGCATTGCGGGATAAGCGCTAGTAAGCAAATAGGTTGCTCTGTCATTTCAGTGAACTTTTTATTTATTTATTATTTATTTCTTAGGTAGGTGGATTAGCTCACAGCCCATCCGGTGTTAAGTGGTTATTGGAGCCCATAGACATCTACAACGTAAATGCGCCACCCACCTTGAGATATAAGTTCTAAAATCTCAGTATAGTTACAACGGCTGCCCCACCCTTCAAATCGAAACGCATTACTGCTTCGTGGCAGAAATAGGCAGGGTGGTGGGGTGGTGAACTTGTCTAATCATGATCACGTAATGTATCATAATGGTTCCAGTCGTCTCTTAATAACACTTTTGCATTAAATTGATTTCAATGAAAAAATAATTGGAGAATTTAATATTAGGTATAATTTTCGTACATTTTGAGTGATTCCGTGTTTTCCGCCGCAAACTATTATTTTAATTTATAATTTATATTTATATTTCCAACATTACCACAGGTACCATATTTAATTCACCAGTGTTAATTGAATATGCCATTTCGAAAAGGGCACATGTCGCATATTTTGTCAAATACGTTTTTTCATATACATGTAGTTTTGAGGCTTACCTACACCCATTTTATAATAAATCCAGTAATTTTCAATTGCTAATTAACACTATAATATATCTCAAAAGTTAATATTTTAAATTTTACACTGCTTTAGAAAATAAGATCAGTTTTTTTTCATTTCCTGAATATTTTACATTTTCAGAGATGTGCCCTTTTCGAAATTGCATATTTTAATTAATTTCATAACAATAATAATAAAAAAACGTATCTAGGCTAGCAGCTGGGTCTTCGGATCCAAAAGGTTTCGAGGTCCATGTTCGTTTTCATTCGCGAAAGAGGGCGTCCATTTTTTTTAACCGACTTCAAAAAAGAAGGAGGTTCTCAATTCGACTGTATGTTTTTTTTATGTTTGTTACCTCATAACTTTTGACTGGGTGAATCGATTTTGATAGTTCTTTGTTTTATTAGAAAGCTGACACTTCCCGTGTGGTCCCATTTCAATTTAGTCCAGTTCTGATAGTTGTATCCATGAGAAAACCATATAAGTCTTAAATTTGCATTAAGTACGTGCGCGACAAATAGATGAATAACTCAATATCACGCCAATCGATTTCGATGATTATTGTTTTTTTTAGTGTATATTAATTTGTATTGGAATATCTTTTTTTTTTTCTTCTATTTGAAGTCGGTTTTTGTTAAAGCATGTCTATTCACAATTATTCACATTCCATCCCAATAAGGCTATTTGTCACCCCACAATCCACCGTCTTTAAAAGTTGTTTCAGTATATCTTATAAATGTCATGTCGGCTGAACTGTTTCGACATAATATCCGCAATTCAATTGTTTTTCTGAGTCACTTTCAAGGGACGCCAGATCCACGCGTGAATTTCCCATTGTACGTAGTAGCTTAGGACAATCAGAGCTAACATTAACATTACCAGTATAGGGTACAGTACCGTCCCGAAAACTTGATAGATTAATGGATACGGCCATAAATTCCTTTGGAAGTAAGTGTATAATATCCTGAAACAATATATCCGTTGGTTTAATTAGACAGAACGCTAGAGTTAGCCTAACTTTAATAGAGAATATGATTCGCTCTTAACGACTGATATACTCTAACGTGAAATAAGTAAACCAAGTAAAAATACGAGACCTCAAGAAATTATTAGGAATGTTCTCTGCGAAGCACTGCTCTCGCTAGGGCCAGTGTTAGCAACACTCCCGATTTGAGCCCCGTGAGCTCACCTACTAGTTCGGTGAATCTAGAATAACCCCTCGAGGTTACTAGGATAGGTAGGGAAAAAAAAGTTGAAACTTGAAGGATTACTGGGGGCCCTGAACCCTTTCCAGTTTCACCAGGACAGGTGGGCGAGCAAAGGCTCAGCCAGGAGGGGTGGGATTTGCTAACAGCCGCCCGAGCGCCTCCGAAGGAGACCTAACAACACAAGAGCAATTGCTTCGCGAATCGGAATCACGACCCGCTGAGAAGATCCGGCGAGAAACTCAGCGGGCTGATGCATGGGTTAGGTTGCATGTCGACTTCTTTGCCGCCATCGACGAGTACGGTTACCGGGGTTCCTAAGCCTGCTCCTAGTGTTAGAGCTGAAGGCGTCTAATGCAACGGTTATTGGATCTGATGGATTCGTAAGGACGTGTAAACTTAGCCTTAGTCCAGTATACTTACACGAGATTGTATACGATATACAGGGCCGTTAGGACCTGAAGGCTCAATTTATCGGATTTCGGGCGGGTCCTCTCCTGGAAGCTCAACTCCCAGAGCACGACCGGTAGTATCGCTAAGTGCATGACCAAATTACTATTAAACGACACAACTTTATCTATGTACTCTGGGTACAACCAATCCCTGTTGTAATTGTATAAGGACCAGAATATACCTACAATGAACTGAAACAGAATTAATGATCATTAGAATGTTATTGGTTCCTTTGAATTAGTGACAGTTTAATGACGGATATAATAATTAGGGAGGCGTTTGACACTTTGTGTTGCATTGCGTGTTTTTTTTCCNTTAAACGACACAACTTTATCTATGTACTCTGGGTACAACCAATCCCTGTTGTAATTGTATAAGGACCAGAATATACCTACAATGAACTGAAACAGAATTAATGATCATTAGAATGTTATTGGTTCCTTTGAATTAGTGACAGTTTAATGACGGATATAATAATTAGGGAGGCGTTTGACACTTTGTGTTGCATTGCGTGTTTTTTTTCCCGTTTGTAGGCTGATGCGTCGACGATGTTAATGGCATGGCCAAGCCGCAAGTCGTAAGCGGCTCCTTGACCTTGAAGAGGTCATATTAATGCTGTCGTGTACCTTGCGCTATGGGATTGTCGTCATAATTGCATGAGACCGTTCAACTCTTCGAATTTTGCAGAAACAGGCAAGATTGAGGTGATGTATGTGGACCTGTATACAGGTTAAGCTTGATTGTTGATGACGCCGTATTTATTGTTGACGACGTATTTATTGACGCTGCATTTATTGATTGACGCATTAGTTATTGACGTGCCGATTTGTTTTTTTTCTTCAGGATCTTTCATACTTACCAATGAGTAAGGACAGACAATCGATTCGAATATCGCATTCCTGAGCTTTCTGACCGTCTTCGGCGTGACGTCATCTCTCCCTAGCAGAGTAAGGCCGTCGCAAACTAAGCCCAGGGTTGCGTACATCAATTGGAAGACCTGGAAATAAAACACAGGTCACCGGGCGGTCTGCTTACAACATCTGCAGTCTGTCAAGTCCAAATGACCCCACGCGCCCCCTAAGCGCGGAAACCTCGTAGAAAGCTCGGCCCCCTGACCGAAAAATAGGTTTGAAAAGTCCTCAGAGTTAGGCAGCGGCTATGGCATTGTCAGTTTACAACATCAGTGACGCGGCAGCTTGATTCAACGCTATTAAAAAAGCGGAGTTGCAAGATTTTGAGGATCTCCCTCTTCCTCGACTCCTGATTGCGGACCAATAATGTGATCAATGTTGCTGCGATCGCTTTCATCTTAGACCAGATTAGTCTTCCTCATAAAAAAAAACAATATCAGGTATTCAACTAACCATATTCCATGTCGTCAAAAATTTAAACTGCATGAAATGAAGGTTTCTGATGTCAGGATCTGTCCTCAGGAGCTCTTCGTTGAAGTTACCCAGTATTACGGCTGTATTGGTGAGGTGCAGACCGAGGGCAACAACGTGGCCAGCCACACGGTAGGCTGCTGGTGACGGCATTGTGATCTGGAAAGAAATACATGCGTTGGCTTCGGTGGGTGGACGAGCTCACAGCCCACCTGATGTTAAGTGGTTACTGGAGCCCATAGACATCTACAACGAAAATGCGCCACCCACCTTAAATTGAAGTTCTAAGGTCTCAGTATATGTAGTTACATCGGCTGCCCCACCCTTCAAACCGAAACGCATTACTGCTTCAGGGCAGAAATAGGCAGGGTGGTGGTACCTACCCGCGCGGACTAACAAGAGGTCCTACCACCAGTAATCTTGGTTAATTAGTTTGGGAGGATCCAAACAGACGTGTTCATTGGCACACCAGGAAAGGTATCTGTGACATTACCACGAACGTGCGACAGACCAAGACCAATAAAAGCTGGATGGACAAAATGATGATAGATCTTGGGAATAATTTTATCTGCCGAATGTCACTTAAACTTTTAACGGGAAGAGTTACCAGAGTGCTCGGCCACTGAAGCAGTGGATGAAAAAAGAATGCAGAAGAATTAAGATGAACGCGGGGAGTAACAAGCTTCGTTAAAATGAGAAATGGGTATCAAAGGAAAATCTGAAAATAGCGCCAGTGACAAACAAAATAAAGACTGGAAGGTCGTATTGGCATGCTATGCATAGAAAACATGATCAAGTTCGACGAGTAAACTAACTCACAGAAAAAGCCCACTGAGTTTCTCGCCGGATCTTCTCAGTGGGTTGCGATTCCGATCCGGCGGTAGATTCTGCGAAGCACGGCTCTTGCTAGGGTTCGTGTTAGCAACGTCGTCAGGTTTAAGCCCCGTGAGCTCATCTAGTAGCTAAGGTTACGCTGAAATAGCCTCTCAAGGCTATCAGCATAGGCAGGGAAAAAAAAGGAGCCCATAGGCACCCGAATTCGCCACCCACCTTGAGATACGAGTTCTAAGGTCTCAGTTTTAGTAGTACAACGGCTGCCCCACCCCAGACGCAGTGAAACACTGCTTTTGGTAGAGCAAGGGCTAGCAAAGTTTCCCAGGCTGAGTCCCGTGAGCTCACCTACACGTTCGGTGAAAGGAAAGTAAAGAACCCATATAGGACAAACTTAAAAAAAAAAGTCTAACACATTATTCGCAGAGATTTCTTGATACATGTTATTAATATTGTTGTTAAATATATAATGTATTAACAGAACAGGTTTTGTTTTTAATTTATTTTGTTACGTATTTTATTATTAGGGGCAGTGTTGGGTGGGAAACAAATTTTGACTGAAGCTGACGTGAAAAATCGTTTTTTTAAGTATTTAAATCTATTTAATATATTTTTTTTAAGTGCCTAGTGTGGAGAGTTTTTGGCAAACGGCTATGTGTAAATGTTTTCAAGGTTAATAAATAAATTGTTATTATTTATTATTATAGGTTTCCCCTTTCTCAGCCCAGTCTGTCGACAGAGCCGGCAGAACTGTATATACCGGCTTTCGGCCAAGTAACATACAGTAGCTATGAGTTATTAGGCTAGTTTTTTTTACGTGTAGTATTCTTCAAGCTGCAGGAACTTTCTCACTATTCTGCATGTACTTTTATTATTATTATTATTATTAAATCTTGATGCTTTTTTTATAGCTTAAACGTGTGATCGAGCTCACGGCCCACCTGGTGTTAAGTGGCTAGCAGAGCACACAGTTTTAAAGTCGTCGTGGCGTAAAGGATAAGACAATCGGTGCATTCGTGTTGAAGCGATGCACCGGTGTTCGAATCTGAGGCGGGTACTAATTTTTCTAATGATATACGTACTCATCAAATGTTCACGATTGACTTCCACGGTGAAGGAATAACATCGTGTAATAAAAATCAAATCCGCAAAATTATAATTTGCGTAATTATTGGTGGTAGGACCTCTTGTGAGTCCGCGCGGATAGGTGCCACCGCCCTGCCTATTTCTGCCGTGAAGCAGTAATGCGTTTCGGCTTGAAGGGCGGGGCAGCCGTTGTAACTATATTTGAGACCTTAGAACTTACATCGCAAGATGGGTGGCGCGTATTTACATTGTAGATGTCTATGGGCTCCAGTAATCACTTAACGATCTAAGGAACAAAAAATTATAATTAATCAAGTAAAAAAAAAAATTAATCAAGTAAAACCCAAATGCCGTCACCTACCAACCAGGTCCGACCAGGTTCAAGAGTCACAGAAGCCCATACACATGTGTGTGTTTAAATTATAGTCTAATTGAAGTTAGTGTGATGACAACGTTGTATGCGAACGGTTGGAAAATTAACGAAGCAAACATAAGACAATAATTAACAAATATATGTATATAATATTATACATAATATAAGGAAAATGAGGTTACAAGAGCTGCGAACGTCCGTTCTGTAACAATTAACTTTTTTTATTTTATTGCTTAGATGAGTGGACGAGCTCACAGCCCAGCTGGTGTTAAGTGGTTACTGGAGCCCATAGACATCCACAACGTAAATGCGCCACCCACCTTGAGATATAAGTTCTAAGGTCTCAGTATAGTTACAACGGCTGCCCCGCCCTTCAAGCCGAAACGCATTACTGCTTCACGGCAGAAATAGGCGGGGCGGTGGCACCTACCCGCGCGGACTCATAAGAGGTCCTACCACCAGTAATTAACTTCGTAACCTCGTATTTAATATTCTCATTTTACAACTTTGCAACAAAGTTTCATATAATAGTTTAGTATAATAGTTTGTGGTTTTCTTCAGCCCCACTAATTAATGTGTTTGTGTGTGTTTTGACGAAATCAGAGTATTTAATTTATAATATTTTTATGTGTTGACAACAACTGCTTTACGAACCAATTTAAAAAAAGGAGGGCGTTTCCAATTCGACTGTATTGAACTTACTTATTGGTAGGGGATAATCTTATGGGTTCGCGTCACCGACATGCGTAATAGCAGTATATCTGTAGCTATACAGATGACGCCGATCACCGTCCACGTCGAACCCGTCGCTTGCGACGAAGGGCTGGACGAGCGAATTAACCTATAGACACAGCCCACTGAGTTTCTCGCCGGATCTTCTCAGTGGGTCGCTTTTCCGATCCGGTGGTAGATTCTGCGAAGCACTGCTCTTGCTAGGGTCAGTGTTAGCAACACTCCGGTTTGAGCTCCGTGAGCTCACCTGCACTAGTTAGGGTGAAGCTGAAATAGCCTCTCAAGGCTATCAGCATAGGTAGGAAAAAAAAATACCGGTGACATATTGTGCAACATTAATGTTGTGTATATTGTAACGCGCCTTAAGTGTTCCACCAAAGTAATATTAAAAACTGTATAACATCTCTAGAATTATCGAGAATATTCCACAAAAGTCTAGTATTGTGTGTTTCCGCTATCTGACAATAGATGTCGTTGTACGTCTCGAAGGTTCTAGATGCTACGAGATCCTTCGATATTTGTTCGACTATTCGGCGATAGATGGCGTTACTATTACCGGCGTAACAATATCTTTACGAGTAAAATTGAATGGATTTACTAAAAAGTGATTTTATATTAATTGTTATTTCAATTAAATTGTACTAGCGACCCGGCCCGCGACTCGAGCAGCCGACTGAGGCGGAGCGCTCTGTTATTATCGCTGTACACTTGGAATGCAATAAATGGAATTCATTGGAAAAGTGAATTTTAATTACCGTCACTATGGAAGGCAATGATGATGAGAATGGCGTCACCGACGCTGACGTCATCATTTTAAAAAGACCATGGAACCAGCCACTCCGTCATATAAAGTAAATCTACACGGTATACGTATGTACAATCCGGTACGGTAGAACGTGCGACATATGATAAGTTTAAAATAAGAAACGCATTAAATGGCATGCGCCATATTGTGACGTCATAGCTGTCAAATCGAAAATAATAGGTAAAGTCAGTAAAAAGGTAGGAATTTTTAAATATTATTTTATTTTGTATTCCAAATCTTCGAGTTTGCTGATTCCACTAATCCCACTGGTTGAATAACACCCGATAGTGTTGCAGCCTTGATTTTTGAAAATGTTTTTTTTTATATAATCTAAATTCATGTTTAACTTACCTCGACCAGTACTCAACATATCAAGAAAATTACATAAGCGTGTCGGGTTCATTAAAATAAACATATTAATTAACAGTCTTCATAATTAGGGTACGAATAAATCTTATACCTACCTTTAAACGAGCAATTCTTGTATATTAATATATACTAGAGGTCCCGCAGTAGTCGAAATTCGACTATAATTAATTGTAATTGTAAGTTTGTACACTATTATGATTGTATTTTATACTTCTATAATCACAAATTTCGCCAAGACTACACTATAAAAATTACTAGTATAGATATTGTTTGTTTTTGTATATTTGACAATATACTTCAAGAACAAAAGTATGCATGCGTGTGTGCGTCAAATACATGGTATGTAGTGTGTGTAATGTTTTCCTTATTGATTTAATGTATCTTTTACGCATTATTTAAAAAAAATATTAGCATTGTGCACTTATTCTCTATATTCTCTATAAGCGTGGAAAATTTCATACTCCTACGTCCGCGCAATTTTCGTAAAAAGGGATACAAAGTTTTTGCTTCACGTATTAATATATAGATATATAATCTGAATATTGGAAACGGCTCCAACGATTCTCATAAAATTTAGTATACAGGGGATTTCGGGGGCGATAAATCGATCTAGCTACGATTTATTTTCAGAAAATGTTGTTTTATTCGTGTTTTCAATAATCAACTCTTCCCGACATCTATTGGCGAATATTAATACTATTTTTCTTAATTGAGGGCAACTCACCGCTTTAAAGACACAACAAAATGGCGTTATTAAAAAAAAAACGAGTAAAGCTCGGTCATCATCTAGTAATTATTTATTCGTAGTAATTGGGTAAAAAATTCACTAAAACAAGAATATAAAATATAATATATATATATTTTTTTCTGTCCATACTTTTTTATCGAACTTTGACAGATCAAGGTCATTGACATGCACATTCTTAATTTGAAACACATTATAAAGACCTGAAGCTATGTTCGAGTTTAGACATCATTAATAGCCCAGACTATTTATTTGTTTATTATTCATTGTTTTTTTTTTATTGCCCTTGTAGGCAGACGAGCATACTGCCCACCTGATGGTCAGTGGTTACCGTCGCCCATGGACTTCACGGTAGAAATAGGCAGGGTGGTGGTACCCACCCGCGCGGACTCACAAGAGGTCCTACCACCAGTAATGATATCAACCAACACTGCTCGACGCGCAGACCGACCTGTTATTATTATTATTTTTATCGACTTGTTGTTTGTTGTGCTAACTGCTTGATGATAATGTTTGTGTGTTGGGTGATGGTGTGTTATCGTCAACCTGCATAAACTTCCTCACGATTCGGCAGGTGTTTAAAATAGCGGCTTTTTGGAGGGCTAGGTTTTTTTTTTTGCTTAGATTGGTGGACGAGCTCACAGCCCACCTGATATTAAGTGGTTACTGGAGCCCATAGACATCTACAACGTAAATGCGCCACCCACCTTGAGATAAAAGTTCCAAGGTCTCCGTATAGTTACAACGGCTGCCCTAACCTTCAAACCGAAACGCATTACTGCTTCACGGTAGAAATATGCAGGGCGGTGGTACCTACCCGTGCGGACTCACAAGAGGTCCTACCACCAGTAATTACGCAAATTATAATTTTGCGGGTTTGATTTTTATTACACGATGTTATTCCTTCACCGTGGAAGTCAATCGTGAACAATTGTTACGTATTTCATTAGAAAAATTGGTACCCGCCTGCGGGATACCAACACCATTGCATCGCTAGATACGAATGCACCGGACGTCTTATCCTTTAGGCCACGACGACTTCAGAATGTAGAGATTTTGTTTGATATTGACTATTTTAAGGCTATGGTGAAGATGATAAGGAATTACTCCTGTTACGGAAAGAACAACAGGTACTATATAAACTATTTGTTGTCTCCAAATTCTAATTATTTTATTTTATTATTATCTATTATTATTATTATTATAAGCCCAATCCCAATTAACATTTAATTTTATATTCACCGATATTCAAATTGAATTTTTCGAAGTGTATATGCACGCGCTCCATCGATAGTTCAAGGTCGGAAGGACCTTGATTCTGTAACGTATGCTTCACGAGATTAAGCTGATCACTTGTTTTTTTATATGCGTGTTACCAAAATAACATTTTTTTTAGGTGATTTTGATAATTTCTTTTCTTATTTCATAAAAGCTAGTATTTCTCGTGTGACCCCTATAAAATTAACCCCTTTTAAGTTTTATTTATTTATTTTTTATTGCTTATATGAATGGACGAGCTCACAGCCCACCTGGTGTTAAGTGTTTACTGGAGCCCATAGATAGCTACAACGTAAATGCGCCACCCCCCTTGAGATATAAGTTCTAAGATCTCAGTATAGTTACAACGGCTGTCCCACCCTTCAAACCAAAACGTATTACTGCTTCAGGGCAGAAATAGGCAAGGTGGTGGTACCTACCCGGGCGGACTCACAAGAAGTCCTACCACCAGTAATTACGCAAATTATAATTTTGCGGGTTTCATTTTTATTACACGATGTTATTCCTTCACAGTGGTCCCCTGGTAGTCGAAATACGACTATAATTAATTGAAATTATATATTTGTACACTATTATGATTGTATTGTCAAAGACTATTATACTTTTATATCACAGATTTCGCCAAAACTACTACACTATAGACAAATATTAATAAAGACAAATAATATTTAATTTATTCTAAAGTTGACCACAGACTATAAGCAATAAGAAAAGTTTGACAATAAACAAATAGTATATGTCGGCGTTAAGCCATGGTTTTCACACATAAGATCTATTACCTACAATGAAAATACAATACAAATACATAAAACATTAACATTACTTGTTTATTACAAAAAGCCACGTCTTAGTTTTTACACAATGAGGTAGCCATTTTGTGTTGGTTACAGCAACTACAACTTCTTTTATTCAAACAAATGTAATTACTACGAAACAATTCACAAAATATAGCTTATTATTCACAATAGATATTTTAGTGATTTTTACATGACTGACATTAATTTAATTTACATGAATTACTTTTAATTTATATAAACTGTCATTGTTATTCTCCAGTCTAATAATAGATGGCGCCAACATCATTTGCATAACAATTACACTACTTAAGTAATTTATGACTGTTAATTATTATATAAATTATTATTAATGTAACCTCTATACGATTAATCTTAAAAGAGGTTAATATGAACATTAGAACATTAGAAGGAACAGTAGAAATATAAAAGTATTTTTTGAAATATTAAATTATAAAAGGATATAAAAATAGTGATGAAGCAATAGCTTTAAATGTTGTTTCTCTTCATAAGAGCAACTCAATTTGTTTTATAATTTTACGAAGCTAAACTGTATTTTGATATAAATAAAAAAATAGATACATTATAAAACACTAGCGGACCCGGCGAACTTTGTTCCGTCACACGGTTTGTTTCACACACATCAACCGGTTAACTTCAAAATTCTATTATAATGAACCATAGTACGTTTAGCTGTCAGTTGCGTTTTGTTATTCCATATCAGTTGCGTTTTGTCATACCACGTTTTACGTCACGTCCCATGAGAATGTGATAAAAAGTATCCCATGTCCTTCTCCTGGTCCTATGCTACCTCTTCAGCAATTTTCAGCCAAATCAGTTCAGCCGTTCTTGAGTTATAAATAATGTAACTAACACGACTTTCTTTTATATATATATAGATTTATGCTTTATTAATATTTAATTATTTATACAGTCATTTGTGTTTTTAAACAATAATATAAAAATTCAACGTATTCTGAACATTTTCAAATCAAAACAGTGTCCGCTAATTATTAAATATGGTAGAATAACAGTTTCATCTTGCTAATAATAAATAAACAATAACATAGAATAAACTAAATTATATATTATTATGTTAATTTTTGCCAATAATGGCGTTTGCGCCCATACATGCGCGTGTGTGATAAACAAATAGAGGCGTGGGTAATGTTTTGTTTATTGATTTAATGTATTTTTTGTCCATAATTTAAAAAAATATTAACATTCTGCCGCGCAATTTTCTTAAAAAGGGGTACAAAGTTTTTGCTTCACGTATTAAATTATTTGCGTAATTACTGGTGGTAGGACCACTTGTCAGTCCGCGCGGGTAGGTACCACCGCCCTGCCTATTTCTGCCGTGAAGCAGTAATGCGTTTCAGTTTGAAGAGTGGGGCAGCCGTTGTAACTATACTTGAGACCTTAGAACTTATATCTCAAGGTGGGTGGCGCATTTACGCTGTGGATGTGTATGGGCTCCAGTAACAACTTAGTACCAGGTTTGCTGAGAGCTACCCATCTAAGCAATAAATAATAAATAATAATAATTAATTTTATTTCTTAAAATGAACTCACATGCAATTCTCACGTGTTTTTTTTATTTATTTTTTATTGACCTTGTAGGCAGACGAACATACGGCCCACCTAACGGTGGGTGGTTACCGTCGCCCATGGACTTCAGCAATGCCAGGGGCAGAGCCAAGCCAGTGCCTACCTACTTGCTGTGTACAAGTAATAAGCTGCTAATTTTATCTAAATCATTTTATTGAATTTTAATTGTACGCCTTACCCTGGCGATCGTAGACAGGGTTGTAACTACCCGCCTGGGAGAGTATATAGTTCATACAATGATGTTTGTTGGACATATTGTAATATACAATGACATCTATATATTAATACGTGAAGAAAAATCTTTGTACCTGTACAGTAAGGAACGAAATATGTCTGAAGACTTACCGGTTCACCTTCCTTCCACTGCCTCGCGCTCCCTGGGCTCAGCGTCGTTTCCGGAGGTGGGACCGTCTGTCCCTTGACTGGTACACGATGAACAATTGTCGCTGGTTCTAATGGTTACGCGTGACTTGCGTTGGATAATTTTTGTTGTTTGTAATAAAGAATGTCTGCCGCGGAACGCGTGTGTTAAGTTACTATACGACGGCGACCTCTGCCCGTAGGCTTGGAGGGGTTGCTCAGCAAGCTTCTGGTTGGCTAGCCGGCCGTCTACAGGCGAGATCGAACCTTACTGTACCTAGGTTAAGATTTGTGTTGTCTTGAAGATGTATTGCCTAATACTCGATATTAATAAAAATACAGAAACACGAAAAATCTGTTTCAGTACGAAACAGTACCCCTTTTTACGAAAATTGTGCGGACGGAGGAGTATGAAATCTCCCACACTTATAGAGAATATAGAGAAGGACTGTAGAATGGTAATATTTATTTAAATAATGCATAAAAGATACATTAAATCAATAAAAAAACATTACACGCACTACCGTGTATTTGACACACAGACGCATACATTTGCTTAATGTCAAACTTTTCTTACTGCCTAAAGTCTGTGGTCAAATTGAGAATAGATTGATTATGGTTTGTCTTTATCAATATTTTTGTCTGAAGTGTAATCTTGGCGAAATCTGTGATTATAGAAGTATAATAGTATTTGACAGTATGATTCTCATAATAACTTATAATTTCAATTAATTATAGTCGAATTACGACTACTGGGGATCACTAGTACCTATATATAAAATGACTTACCGATCTATGTAGTCTTAGATTTCTTTATTCAAGTATCTTATACGACTTAGCACGCTGAGTTGCGCGTTGTGACTGAGCTAAGCGAATTTGCATTCCGAAAAACGTAAAATACGGAAGTACATAAAAATATATATATATGTATTATATACAATAATAATAGAACCAGTTTGAAGGATGTCTTTAAATTAATTTAAATTTAATTGTCGTTCTATTTATGCTAAATACTTAACGTGACCACACGTTCCGCTTTGGGCGGGATTGTCCAGTTTTCAGACTATCCGTCCCGCTGTCCCCAACGAGAATAAAAGTGTCCCGCTTTCATTTATCTATTTATTAGACACTTACAGTATAACTTACTTATCCCAAATCCTAATTGTATTACAAAATACATACTAAATTAACTCTAATTTTGCTGTAGAAAAGTAGGTTTTTTTATTGCGAAATTATTTACAAATATTATTTTAAGGGCAATTTGGTGTAAGATTTAAGATGTCAGTGAGGGTAAGATACTATAATAAATGATTTCAAGTCATTTTTTAAACCATTTTTTTTATTTTGCCCCGACATACCTTGTATTATTATATGTATTTATTTATACTAGTGGCCCCGCAGTAGTCGAGATTCGACTATAATTAATTGTAATTATAAGTTTAAACATTATTGTGGTTCTATTGTCAAACACTATTATATTTCGATAATATAATCACAGTATTCGCCAAAACTGCACTATAGATCAATAATATTAAAGACAAACAATATTAATCTATTTTCAATTCGACCACAGACTTTAAACAATAACAAAAGTTTCCCAATTGACAATAAACAAAGAGTATATTTTTTGTATGTGCTGTGTGTCAAATACATGGTAATGTGGGTAATGTTTTCTTTATTGATTTAAAGTATCTTTTATGCATTATTTTAAAAAAATATTAGCATTGTGCACTCCCTCTCTATATTCTCTATAAGTGTGGGAAATTTCATACTCCTCCGTACGCGCAATTTTCGTAAAAAGGGATACAAAGTTTTTGCTTCACGTATTATAATATATAGATACGAAATTCCGAAGGCATCCCGTTTTGCCACGAAAAAAAAAATGGTCACGTTATAAATACTGGGACCGGTAGTATCGCAACGTTAAGCCCACCGGTTAGGAACAAGAGTTCAAATTGTAGATTGCATGTATTATGTTCCGTTCCATTTCCGATCCTGCGTACCGAATGATAAACAGTCGACGTCGCCCAAAACACGTCATTACGAATCCTCCCGATCCACTAACGGTGCTTTTAGGTACCTCAAGCAGCGGTCATCGTTCTCGTCGAAACCGTCGCTTGCGACGAAGGGCTCGACGAGTAAATTAACCCACAGATACAGCCCACTGAGTTTCTCGTCAGATCTATTCAGTGGGTCGCGTTTCCGATCCGGTGGTAGATTCTGCGAAGTACTGGTCTTGCTAGGGCCAATGTTAGCAACACTTCCGGTTTGAGCCCCGTGAGTTCACCTACATGTCAAGGAGAAGCTGAAATAGCCCCTCAAGACTATCAGCATAGGTAAAAAAAGTGGGTTGGATCCCCATTTAAGCCAAGCATTCTTTTGTTTTACAATTGTTTTTTTTTGTTAAATTTATAAATGTATTTATTTAAACTAGTGGTCCCGCAGTAGTCGAAATTCGACTATAATTAATTGGAATTGTAAGTTTGTACACTATTATGATTGTATTTTATACTTCTATGATCACAAATTTCGCCAAGACTACACTATAAAAAATATTAACAAAGACAAACCATATTTAATCTATTCTCAATTTGACAACAGACGCCATGAACAAAAGTTTGACAATAAATAGTATGCATGCGTGTGTGCGTCAAATATATGATATGTAGTGTATGTAATATTTTCTTTATTGATTTAATGTATCTTTTATGCAATATTTAAAAAATATATTAGCATTGTGCACTTCTTCTCTATATTCTCTATAAGTGTGGAAAATTTCATACTCCTCTGTCAGCGCAATTTTCGTAAAAAGGGGTACAAAGTTTTTGCTTCACGTATTAATATATAGATGTATATAAGTAAGTACGTCATTCTGCAATTTTCATACTACATGGAATCCTAGTTTAAGGGGCCCGATGTGTATGTGATATGTGTTGATTTTTAATTTATTATCAAAAACTGCAGCCTCGCGGAAATATGCTTAATACAAAATAAAATATATTGTATAAAATATGTTAAAACATATAATACTTACGTAAATGTTACTCGATTAGATTTGAATTTAAAATGCATTTTTTTTTTGCACGAATTCCTGTATCGTTTATATACAAAAATAGTGATGTAACTTATCTAAGATACAAGTGTCTGTACTACAGATACAAGATACGTATTTTTTCATCTTGTATATATTTTATAAAACTTTTTTAAAATTCATTTTATACCTTGTTTTTTTTTTTTTTTTTTTTTTCCTACCTAAGCTGATAGCCTTAGGGGCTATTTCAGCGTAACCGTGGCTAGTAGGTGAGCTCACGGGGCTCAAACCTGACGACGATGCTAACACGAACCCTAGCAAGAGTCGTGCTTCGCAGAATCTACCACTGGATCGGAAACGCGACCCACTGAGAAGATCCGGCGAGAAACTCAGTGGGCTGTGTCTGAGAGTTAATTTACTCGTCGAGCCCTTCGTCGCAAGCGACGGGTTCGACGAGAACGGTGACCGGTGCTTGAAGTACCTAAAAGCACCGTTAGTGGATCGGGAGGATCCGAGATGACGTGTTTTGGGCGACGTCGACTGCTTTCCATTCTGTCCGCAGGATCGGGAATGTAGTTACCGGCGGCCACGATGAGAGGGTTCTCGTGTCGTGCCGCTTTATCGAAGTGGCGCATGGACGCCGACTGCAGATACTTACTGATGGACTCTAAGTCCAGGTCGTCATGGAGGTCGACGTTCCTGACGAACCACGGGGCTCCGACGGCTATCCTGCAAAAACGGGATNTGGTTACTTGGGCAGGTAACAGGCAGTAAAGGTATATAAAATAGTACCTTAAATTCGTTAAAGTATAAAGGTTTTTTTTTTAATATTTAGTCCAGAATATCTTTAGAAATCATGATATCCGTTGCCGGACACTTTTTCCAGTTGTTACCCCCTGCCAGACACCCTTAAACTTTAATAAATTTTAATTATACTTTCGTTATACTATAAAAGCTAAATTTTATATATGTTACTTAGGGACTTATAAAAATATGTTACCCCAAGAGCCGGACAGTTTTAATGGTTCTTACATCTTGCCAGACACATTGACAGCCCGCTGTAGGTGCGAGCGCGAGGTAGCAACTGTTCAAGCGGGTGTGAGCGAGATAGAGTGCTTAGTCTATTGTGATCTTTTACTGCACATCAGCTGTCGTTTATAGGATTTATCCGTTCTAAGCAGTGATATCGAGGCGCTACTCAGCATGGGAAGCTCTGTCATTCTGGCGGGCGACCTAAATTGTAAACACATCAGGTGGAACTCACACACCACAACCCCGAATGGCAGGCGGCTCGACGCGTTAGTCGATGATCTCGCCGGCTCACGGCTCTTGCTAGGGCCAATGTTAGCAACATTTCCGGTTTGAGCCCCGTGAGTTCACCTACATGTCAAGGATAAGCTGAAATAGCCTCTCAAGGCTATCAGCATAGGTAAAAAAAGGGAGTTGGATCCCCATTTAAGCCAAGCATTTGTTTTACAATTGTTTTTTTTTAAATCTATAAATGTATTTATTTAAACTAGAGGTCCCGCAGTAGTCGAAATTCGACTATAATTAATTGGAGTTGTAAGTTTGTACACTATTATGATTGTATTTTATACTTCTATAATCACAAATTTCGCCAAGGCTACTCTATAAAATAATAATAATAAAGACAAACAATATTTAATCTCAATTTGACAACAGACGTCAAGAACAAAAGTTTGACAATAAATAGTATGCATGCGTGTGTGCGTCAAATACATGGTATGTAGTGTGTGTAATGTTTTCTTTATCGATTTAATGTATCTTTTATGCATTATTAAAAAAAAATATTAGCATTGTGCACTTCTTCTCTATATTCTCTATAAGTGTGGGAAATTTCATACTCCTCCGTCCGCGCAATTTTCGTAAAAAGGGATAAAAAGTTTTTGCTTTACGTATTAATATTACTTTAATAAATGAATATTTATTGTAATCGTACTGACGGAGCGCGTCGCTGTAACCCGATTCTCTTTTTGCCCAAAGAATCTATTGTCTTTAAGAAATAACAATTAAATTTAATTAATTATGGAATAGTAAATTCTCATTATGAATATTAATATAAACGTAGCCAATTAGCGTTATCCGCGTCTTCGGTTCGTTGTATAAGTAATGTATCGAAATAATTCTATATGTTACAGATAGAACTTTTTTTAAGTTGTGTCCTATAATATCCTTTATATTTGATTTAAACGACATTTTTTAAAATTTACCCATCTCTGTCTCTGGCCGATATCCATGTTTGCGTTTTTATAATTCTAAATTACACGTTAAATTATAATTCATTGTTGGAGTAACTGATGTTACAGAGTAGGTATTTGGGGAGTAGCCTAGTGTCAGGTGCCTTGGGGTATCGCCCGCGTTTTTCTATTTCTTTTATTGCTTCGGTTTGTGGACGAGCTCACGGCCCAACTGGTGTTAAGTTGAGCCCATAGACACCTACGACCATAGACGACCTACCGCGAGAAATAAGTTCTAAGTCTCAGTTTTAACAGTACAACGACTGCCCCACCCTTCAAACCGAAATTACTGCTTCACGGCAGAAATAGGGGGGGGGGTGGTGGTACCTACCCGTGCGGACTCAAGACTTCCTACCACCAGTATACCGCGTAGTATATTTACAGTAAAAGTTTTTTATTCGCGGGATATGTGTTCCTTTTTTCCAATTCTCTTTCAATCGGTCTCGATCGCTCTCTCCCTCTTTTTGAACACTAACGTCCCATATATTCGTGTTCTAATATTATTATTATATTTGCGTTTCATACGTAAATAAATGTCAACGTCGCCCAAAACACGTCATTTCGGATCCTCCCGATCCACTAACGGTGCTTTTAGGTATCTCAAGCATCGTTCTCGTCAAACCTGTCGCTTGCGATGAAGGGCTCGGCGAGTAAATTAACCCACAGACACAGCCCACTGAGTTTCTCGTCGGATCTATTCAGTGGGTCGCGTTTCCCATCCGGTGGTAGATTCTGCGAAGCACGACTCTTACTAGGGTTCGTGTTAGCAACGTCGTCAGGTTTAAGCCCCGTGAGTTCACCTACTAGTGAAGGTTACGCTGAAATAGCCTCTCAAGGCTCTCAGCTAGGTAGGATTAAAAAAAACTTGCTGTCAGGTGGGACGTATGCTGGTCTGCCTACAAAGGCAACAAAAAACACCTTGAGTCTTAAACTAGTTTGAAAAAAAAAAACCAAAAAAATTTATCGCTTAACCGCTTTTTGAAGTGAAACTTCTTTATCGGCCTTGGAAAAAAATTTACCGTCACATTTTTCGGTTACGCGTCACATTTTTCCGTTACGCGCCATCTTTTTCTTCACCATTCATTGTTGCCGTACACAAGTGAAGGTGCCTCTTTACTCGGTAACAATAATTATAAAATACCGATGATTTTAAGTGGAGATTTTAATGTAAATTTTGCATCGGAAAATTCTTTGAAGCTAGTTGAATTTCTGAAAGATAAATTGAATTTATCCATGAAAAACAGTCCTCAAACGTCAACAACAAGATCTGGCACTACAATTGATGGAGTTTTTACTCGGTCACTAAATTTCGTGGAATGTAAACCATATATTTCATATTTCAGTTACCATAAGCCATTAATTACAAAAATATATAATGACAATGACAATGATAGTAATAATTCTATTACAATTAATGAAATGCTGTAATAATCTTAGTAGCAAAAAGGTAAAGTGAAATAATTGTATTATTTGTATTCATGTCTATGATAATAAAATCCTTTTGTTTAAACTTTATCTAATTTAACTTTATTTAACCAATTTCTAGAAAGTTGCATGTAGATCATTTTTCGAAAAATAAGTCCATAAACAAGTTTCACTTCTTACGTGTGTACACTAGTACACGCACACATTTTTTTTTTTTTCTTTTTTTTTTTCTCCCTAAGCTGGTAGCCTTGAGAGGCTATTTCAGCGTAACCTTAACTAGTAGGTGAGCTCACGGGGCTCAAACCGGACGACGTTGCTAACACGAACCCTAGTAAGAGCCGGGCTTCGCAGAATCTACCACCGGATCGGAAACGCGACCCACTGAGAAGATCCGGCGAGAAACTCAGTGGGCTGTGTCTGAGGGTTAATTTACTCGTCGAGCCCTTCGTCGCAAGCGACGGGTTCGACGAGAACGGCGACCGGTGCTTGAAGTACCTAGAAGCACCGTTAGTGGATCGGGAGGATCCGAGATGACGTGTTTTGGGCGACGTCGACTGCTTTCCATTCTTTCCGCAGGATCGGGAATGTAGTTACCGGCGGCCACGATGAGAGGGTTCTCGTGTCGTGCCGCTTTATCGAAGTGGACAAAACTCGCACTAAGCACCACAGACCTAGGTTTCATACTTTAGTGCTAAGCACACTGTATTTTTATTGTACGTTTTTTTTGGAAATAAAGTATTCTAATTAACGTCTTTCGTTTTAATTTTGTTAATTTATTAGTGAATATGCTGTCACGAATAGGCTTAAAATAAAAGACAAAATTTCGTTTGTAATACATTTATTAATATATTGTATTTTGCTAAGTTACGATGCTCTTAATAGTTGATACTTAATTTTATACATTATATTAGAATAATACAGCACAAAAGCGTGCTTAACTCGTTATTTTTGTTATAACACTAGCTGACCCGGCAGACTTCGCAGTGCCTTAATCGATAAATAAAAGAGACAAACAAAAGGAATCCGTCTGACGGGGGGACATCAATGGGAAAACTGAATTGTTATTTTTATTTAATTTCGAGCATTTTCATATTTATCTGCCGTTTAAACCTTCTCTGGACTTCCGCAAATTATTCAAGACCGAAATTAGCCAAATCGGTTCAGCCGTTCTCGAGTTTTAACGAGACTAACGAACAGCAATTCATTTTTATTTAATTAATAGAGATTATATACATTATTGAGATTTTTCTAGAAAACTACAACTAAACATGCTACTTTTATGGATGTTATTAAAATAAATTGCATCTGGGAAACGACTAGAATACATTGTAACAGGTTTTTAATAAAAACACGATTTTACGCAAAAATATTATTATATGCTTGGTACACAAAGCTTAGAATAATGCCATCTAGTACCTAAATATTTTAGATACTTGCATTGTTACAGGGACATATTTTTGTTTTGTAGTACCAACAAACTTCACGAGATGGCGTTACAAGAAATCTCTTCCCAAAACTATAAAACCATTGTGATTGTTTAGATGTTATGAACATTTCAGTTTTGATTTCATCATAATAACTTGAATTTGACTACTGAATTCTGAAGAAAATACTAATTAAGGCTTATTATTCAAGCGTGTTCCTGTTGTTTTTAAATTACATTTATGCGGATTGATGTTGCAAAGCTTTCAGATTTTAATTTTAAGATCTGAAATATTTAATGACAGCGCCATCTATCGTTCACGTTTGAAACGAAACTAATCTCGGTTTAAATTAGTAAAAGTTGATTTTATTATTGACTAGATGTCGCTTTCAGGGCACAATCTAAAGTGTATTTTTCTCTTTTTCTAAGCAATCCTCCCGCCAAATTATCTTCGTGATACACCATTGCATGTAATACCACGCTGGTAGCGATAGTAATGTTCCGATAACGAAAATTTTAAAGTAAATTGTTCCTTGGAGGTAGGTTAATATTGGATAAGGCCATTTTCCGCCTTCGTAATATGAGTAAAGTAATCTGAAATTAAAATAACACAGGTTGTACATTAACACGTTAACTGCCAGTGCCATGTAAGGTCACCGGTGTTTTTTTTTTATGATTGAAAGATTACTCGTGGCCCGGAGGCCTTTCCAGCTTCACCAGGACAGGTGGGCGAGCAAAGGCTCAGCCAGGAGGGGTGGGATTTGCTAACAACTGCCCGAGCGCCTCCGAAGGAGACCTAACAACTCAAGAGCAATTGCTTCGCGAATGAATCTACTACCGGATCGGAATCGCGACCCGCTGTGAAGATCCGGCGAGAAACTCAGCGGGCTGATGCATGGGTTAGGGTCACCGGTGTCCTAAGGGGCGCACTGAAATAATTATGCCGATATACCCATATCAAACAATAATTTTCGAAGTTTCCATTTTTATTAGGTAGTTAGTAGCTGTACCCGTCGGCTTCGCTGGGCATTTAAAATTAGCATTATTATTTCTCACCCCCACAAAGATTCTCATCATTAACGCCCCCGCAACTGGTGTAGGGAGTCCAACATTCATTTATATATTAGCCTATCCATTAAGTACGTGTATTTTCTACATGGATACCAAGTTTCAAGTCAATCGGATGCACGGTTCAGTAGTTATAACGGAACATCCGTAAAAACCACCGTAGATTTATATATTAGTATAGATTGTTATTCATAAATAGTGGAATGCATTACTGAACATTTGTTAAAGTAGATTGGGGAGAATAGAGACTAGAGTTAGAACAGGGACAAATCTGAGATGTCACAATACTTTTGTTGAGTTGTATTAGATTTAACTTTGTTGAACTGAAAATTACTTTTATTATTATTGTTTAAGAATATTAAATAGTTTAATTTGAAGTCGTCGTGGCCTAACGGATAAGACGTCCGGTGCATTCGTGTTGAGCGATGCACCGGTGTTCGAATCCCGCAGGCGGGTACCAATTTTTCTAATGAAATACGTACTCAACAAATGTTCACGATTGAATTCCACGGTGAAGGAATAACATGGTGTAATAAAAATGAAACCCGCAAAATTATAATTTGCGTAATTACTGGTGGTAGGACCTCTTGTGAGTCCGCATGGGTAGGTACCACCACCCTTCCTATTACTGCCGTGAAGCAGTAATGCGTTTCGGTTTGAAGGGTGGGGCAGCCGTTGTAACTATAATTGAGACCTTACTCAAGGTGAGTGGCGCATTTACGTTGTAGATGTCTATGGGCTCCAGTAACCACTTAACACCAGGTGGGCTGTGAGCTCTTCCAATCATCTAAGCAATAAAAAAAAAAAATTAGTCATCAAGGTTTTGTAACATATTAAAGATATTAAAAAGTTGAATTATCTAAAGTCACGTACCTAGTACCTACCTAACAACTAAATAGTGCCAGCTCTATCGAAATTATCTAAAGTGTGAACGAGACACAGCTATACTATTCGCCACTCACTGCAAGCCGAATACGTTGTGAAAGTCCGTTCGATTTACTTGACAACTGACTGACAAGTAAGTCCGTTGAGTATTTGTTAAAATGGCTATCAGCACAGTGTGTTTAGTGTGAGTTTTTTAACGTTCTCGATAGCGTAAAAGTTAACTCAAATTTGTATGGAGTTAGAACAGCGCCCCTAGCGGCAAACGTACGCAAACGTGCTAACTCCATGTGTACTTAGCTTAAATTCCTTGTCTATGTCCAACCATAGACAGTCAATTTAGTTCCATCTTTAGCCGCCAGATGCTACCAGCAAGTATATAGGAATTTTTTTTTTTCCTACCTGTGCTCATAGCCTTGAGAGGCTATTTCAGCTTCGCCCTAACGTTTGTAGGTGAGCTCACGGGGTTCAACCGGAGAGTTGTTAGCACTGACCCTAGCAAGAGCAGTGCTTCGCAGAATCTACCACCGGATCGGAAACGCGACCCACTGAGAAGATCCGGCGAGAAACTCAGCAGGCTGTGTCTATGGGTTAGTTCGCTCGAGGACGGTGACCGGTATATAGGAAGCGCAGCCATCTTTGATCTTCGTAGTCTTCACCAGGAAGAACTTCCTGCAATGCTGTATGTTTTCCTTCTCGGCACATAATATCGCGCTTACGCTATCGAGAACATTAAAAAACTCACACTAAGCACACGGGTAGGGAAAAAATTGGTGACGTCACAGACCTTAACTACGAAAAATCATACTCACACACACAAATAGACGAGCGTGACAAGCGCCAATACAGAGAGGTTCCACTTGTGGGACTTCGGGGTCTTTCGAGGTCTCAGCGCCATCTCGAAGAGCACGGTCGGCACCACGCACGTGTGAACGATGTGGTTCGACAACGGACTGATGATTTTATTCATGAAACTGGGCAATATCAAATTCCGATCGTACAGGTATATCGCCCAGAATTCGGTTGAGACGACCTACGAGCAGAGGGTGAGGAATCGAATTTTTACTAGCGGTAGGACGTCTTGTGAGTCCGCGCGGGTAGGTACCACCGCCCCGCCTATATCTGCCGTGAAGCAGTAATGCGTTTCGGTTTGAAGGGTGAGGCAGCCGCTGTAACTATACTTGAGACCTTAGAACTTATATCTCAAGGTGGGTAGCGCATTTACGTTCCAGATGTCTATGGGCTCCATTAACCACTTAACACAAGGTAGGCTGTGAGCTCGTCCTCCCATCTAATAAAAAAAATCGAGAACCTGTGTGCTTAGTGTGAGCTTTTTAAAGTTCTCGATAGCGTTAAAGTTAGCTTATATTTGTATGGAATGGGATCGCTTGCCTACGTTTGACGTTAGGGGCGCTTTTTTTTTTTTTTTTTTTTTCGGACCGAGGGCCGAACCTCCTACGAGGTCCCCGCGCCTAGGGGGCACCCGGGGTATGTGAGACTCAACGATCTGCAGGTGTTGAGAGCAGACCGCGGGCCCAAAAGAATTTAGGGCCCACCCACTAAACGACTCCCCTGCACTCTTACACCCGGCGTCCGATCTCCGTCCGGGGTCAAAACCCGTTTCAATTCCATACAAAATTGAGTTAACTTTTACGCTATCGAGAACGTTAAAAAACTCGCAGTAAGCACAGAGCTTCACCGAACATAATTATAGAGAACACATAGAGTTTGCATCCTCGGAGTTCAGATACAACAATACTAATTAAATAAATAAAAGACTCACCAATGAATACGGTACGATGATACTGCTGAAGAACACATCTCGGATCGTCACTAATCTTTGCAAATGTTCGATGTGTTTTTTGTCTTTCTTAAATGTAACGACATCGGAGGCTAGTGCAATAGCCGCGTATACAATCTGAAACACCTGAAAACGACATATATATATTTTATGTATATAAGTTATAAAAATTAATTTCATTACTACGACAATCACAATTGACTTTTTTGCTTGCTTAAAGTAAAAGTTGTTTTATTTATTAGTTACTAGTGGACCCGGCGAACTTTGTTCCGCCACACGGTTTGTTTCAAACACATCAACCGGTCAACTTCAAAATTCTACTTTAATTAACCATAGAATATATTACGTTTATCTGTCAGTTGCGTTTTGTTATTCCATATCAGTTGCGTTTTGTTATACCACATTTTATGTCGCGTCCCACGAGAACTTTATAGTATCCTAAAGTATCCTAATCCTTTAAAGTATCCTATGTCCTTCTCCTGGTTTTAAGCTACCTCCTCACCAATTTTCAGCCAAATCAGTTCAGCCGTTCCTGAGTTATAAATAGTGTAACTAACACGACTTTCTTTTATATATATATATATATATATATATATATATATATATATATATATAGTTAGCATAAAAAACGTTATAGTGAGCTAACCTTAACATATAGACATATGCTGTCGCGAACTTTTTTTTAGATCTTTTAAACGGGAACAATTCTGTCATACATTATTTTAGCGAAATTTTAACTGTTTCTGCAGCGCACGCAGCGGAAGCTCTCAAAAGGTAAAAATAACCTCGGTTTTGAAACATTCTTTATTTGTGCTCCGCTTGTATTGGTCTTAGCGTGATGTTATATAGCCTATAGCCTTCCTCGATAAATGGGCTATCTAACACTGAAATAATTTTTCAAATCGGACCAGTAGTTCCTGAGATTAGCGCGTTCAAACAAACAAACTCTTCAGCTTTATAATATGTATTAGTATAGATAAAATTAAATTATTTAAAAATAAATTACTGTATCTACGGTCACGGATGACAGACAAACCCAAAATGTAAAGTTTTTGAATCTTTGAACGTAATAAAAGCTAGATTGAACTTCTTTTAATTTTATCTAGAGGTAGTTCACGCGATAACCGAATAAGATGTATAGGTTAGGTAGTCGTCGTGGCCTAAAGTATAAGACGTCCGGTGCATTCGCATGTAGCGATGTACCGGTGTTCGAATCCCGCAGGCGGGTACCGATTTTTCTAATGAAATACGTACTTGACAAATGTTCACGATTAACTTCCACGATGAAGGAATAACATCGTGTAATAAAAATGAAACCCGCAAAATTATAATTTGCGTAATTACTGGCGGTAGGACGTCTTGTGAGTCTGCACGGGTAGATACCATCACCCTGCCTATTTCTGCCGTGAAGCAGTAATGCGTTTCGGTTTGAAGGGCGGGGCAGTCTTTGTAACTTTACTTGAGACCTTAGAACTCATATCTCAAGGTGGGTGGTTAACAACAGGTGGGCTGTGAGCTCGTTCACCAATCTAAGCAATAAAAAAAAATTGGGTCGCATTTTTTATTCCGCGGCCTCGAACTTTGAACTTACAAAGGTCCAGCAGCTTATGAACCTGGTCTGGTTGTTGTAGTAGAGTAGTACTTTCGTGTCTCTCATCGCGTCCCCTCGGAAGCTGCTCAGCATGATGAGCCCGTTCACGCCTTGCACCGTCATCGTCGCCAAGTACCCGAACATTCGCATCAGCACGTGACTCGGTATACTGGAACAGTGGTAGCACAGTGACGTCATTGTTCAATAGCGCCATTCATATTCTATACTAGCTGACCCGGCAGACTTCGTAGTGCCTCAATCGATAAATAAAAGTCCTAAGCTTTTGTATAAAATAAACTTAAAACAAACAAAAGGAATCCGTCCGACGGGGGACACATCAAAGGAAAAACAAAATTGTTATTTTTATTTAATTTCGGGCATTTTCATATTTATCTACCTTTTAAACCTTTTCTGGACTTCCACAAATAATTTAAGACCAAAATTAGCCAAATTGATCCATCCGTTCTCGAGTTTTAGCGAGACTAACGAACAGCAATTCATTTTTATATATATAGATTATGTATTCGAATATGAATTAATTCGGAATTCATAAAAAAAATACCATATTACCTGCAAGATTAAACAAGGCGCTAAAATTAGCTTTAATTATAACTACATAAAATAGTTAAATACTTTTAAATAAATAAATAAAAAGAAAGACATAAAAATACTTTCCGTAGCATGCTCAAATTGTAAACGCGAATTACAAAAAAAAAATCAAGCAAAATTACTTCGTCGCTTTTTCTACTTTTGGCGCCAATCGTTCTTAATTTAAAGAGGTTAGACTAATAGTATTGTGTCATATCATCTATATATTAATACGTGAAGCAAAAACTTTGTATCCCTTTTTGCGAAAATTGCGCGGACGGAGGAGTATGAAATTTTCCACACTTATAGAGAATATAGAGAAGAAGTGCACAATGCTAATATTTTTTTTAAAATAATGCATAAAAAATACATTAAATCAATAAAGAAAACGTTACACACACTACATACCATGTATTTAACGCACACACGCATGCATACTATTTATTGTCAAACTTTTGTACTTGACGTCTGTTGTCAAATTGAGAATAGAATATGGTTTGTCTTTGTTAATATTTTATATAGTGTAGTCTTGGCGAAATTTGTGATTAAAAAAGAATAAAAAAAATACAATCATAATAGTGTACAAACTTACAATTCCAATTAATTATAGTCGAATTTCGACTACTTCAGACCTCGGACCTCTAGTTGTGTAAATTACACAACATGCAATTATTAATAGTTTACAGATAAATATATTATTAATTTCACCTATAATAAATAGTTTAAAGATTTCAATAGCATGTATGTTAATTGATTTAAAACACATTTTCTACTTTTGGCGCCAAACGTTGTTAAGAATTCGACAATAGTTTGAAAATGGACCTTATTAATTAAAAGAGGTCAGTCTGATAGTATTGTGTCTATAGTCATATCATTGTGTAACACAAAATGCAATTATTAATAGTCGACAGATAAAATATATATTATTAATCTCACCTATAATGGCTCAAAGATTTAAATTCCATGTTTGTTATTTGATTTAAAACACATTTTCTACTTTTGGCGCCAAACGTTGTTAAGAATTCGACAATAGTTTGAAAATGGACCTTATTAATTTAAAGAGGTCAGTTTGACTATCGTATTGTATCTACATAGTCAAATCGTTATGTAAATTTCACAAAATCCTATTATTAATAATCGACAGATAAAATATATATTATTAATCTCACCTATAATGGCTCAAAGATTTAAATTCCATGTTGGTTAATTAGTTCAAAACACACGTTAGCACGACTCAACAAACAAATACATTGTATTTTTTTAATGCTAATGTTTTATCAATTTAACTTGTGGCTGACATAGATTAAAAACATAGGTGTGCAATTTTAATGACAACTTATTGAGAATTTATTTAATTGAATACATTCAATGTAGCAAAAACGTAAATTGGTTATTTATTTTGATATAATATCGTCTTCTCGCATTAAAACTGTATAATCTCAAAACTGTTCGAGGTGATACCGGCATCTCATTTTTACCATCGCACCGCCCGCCACCGGAGTAGAGTTCATCCATACTACCTGGAGCCACTGCGGTCATCCGCAGTGCGTTTCCAGAGATCTTTTTTGCCACGTACCATCCGGCTATGGAATGAGCTCCCCTCCACGGTGTTTCCCGAGCGCTATGACATGTCCTTCTTCAAATGAGGCTTGTGGAGAGTATTAAGCGGTAGGCAGCGGCTTGGCTCTGCCCCTGGCATTGCTGAAGTCCATGGGCGACGGTAACCACTCACCATCAGGTGGGCCGTATGCTCTCCTGCCTGCAAGGGCAATAAAAAAAAAAAAAAACTTACTAATTTTACAGGAGAGTGTTTTAAAGGTTTAGCATGTTATATTTTTTGTATTGATCATATTTGCAACATATATCTTATAGTTTTGAACAGTTACATTATCTGTCTTTTAATGTAAGAGATACAATTATTTATTAATTTTGTTAATAGTAGTCAAACATAGGTAAACTAAAAAAAAAAAACTAAAACTAAACTAAGCTCTTTTGACAGTTTTTATGAGAAAAATACTGGTGATACCAAATGTTTACGCATATTAACTCAATTTCGAATATTTTTGGAAATTGTACACTTTTAATGCGATATGTTGATAAGGAGTCAAATAAATTGGTGATATACTATTTGTATGGGCGTTATTAAATTAAATATTTTTGTTTTTTAATTCAACGCGTATTTCCTTCCACATTGGAAGGAGAAATATCACAACCCCGATCACCCTCTTCGGCCAAACCCCTGTCTAAGCTCTGGGCCAGGAAGGTCATGTACTTGGGAGTCATCCTGAATGCAACCGTCCGCGACCGTGCCGCGTTTATTCTCGGCAGACTCTGCCCTATGATCTGTAAGCGGAGTAAAATGTCCCTTCGGAATAAGGTGACACTTTACAAAACTTGCATAAGGCCAGTCATGATTTACGCGAGTGTGGAGTTCGCTCACGCGGCCCGCATACATATAGACACCCCCCAATCCCTACAATCCCGATTTTGCAAGTTAGCCGTCGAAGCTCCGTGCTTCGTGAGGAACGTTGACCTGCACGACGACCTGTACACCGGTACATCGATAAGGCTATGCGTCATGATAATCGCCTTATCGTAGCCGCTGACTACTCCCCAAATCCTGATTGCGCAGGAGCCAGTTACCGTCGACGCCCTAGACAAGTCCTTACGGATCCATCAGATCCAATAACCCTTGCATTAGACGCCTTTAGCTCTAACACTAGGAGCAGGCTTAGGGACCCCGGTAATCGTACTCGTCGAACTCGGCAAAGAGTTCGACGTGCAATCTAACCTAAACATCAGCTCGCTGAGTTTCTCGCCGGATCTTCTCAGCGGGTCGCGATTCCGATTCGGTAGTAGATTCATTCGCGAAGCAGCTGCTCTTGAGTTGTTAGGTCTCCTTCGGAGGCGCTCGGGTAGCTGTTAGCAAATACCACCCCTGGCTATGCCCTTGCTCGCCCACCGGCCCTGATGAAACAGAAAAGGCCTCTCGGCAACCAGTAATTTCAAATTCACAAAAAAAAAACAACAATTTCATTACTTCGCTCTAACTTCCTATTCAAAGGAATAAAAAAAAAAGAAGAAATTCATTATTATTTCGGTTAAATCATTTTTTTTTTTTTTGTGTTTTGTTATTGGTTAGTTACGAGGTCCGACCACCAACCCTGTTCATTTCTATCGCGAGGCAGTCGTACGATCCGCTTTGAAGGGTCGGAACAGTCGTTTGTACATTTGAGACCCAGACCTCATGTCTCAAGATGGGTAGCGGAAGTCGCACTGTGAAGGGTTTTGGTAACCACGTAGCGTGAGCTAGTTCATAACCGTTAGTAACCTTGTAACAAAATACGCAAAAAACGATTTAGTCCATTCTATAATAAGAATTGCGTTTTTTTTATATTCTATGACGGAAATTTTTCTTTATGTAACGTTGGTAAGTTCGAATCTTTTTTTTTTGTTATTGCTTAGATGGGTGGACGAGCTCACAGCCCACCTGGTGTTAAGTAGTTACTGGAGCCATAGACATCTACGACGTAAATGCGCCATCCACCTTGAGATATCAGTTCTAAGGTCTCAGTATAGTTACAACGGCTGCCCCACCCTTCAAACCGAAACGCATTACTGCTTCACGGCAGAAATAGGCGAAGTGGTGGTACCTACCCGTGCGGACTCACAAGAGGTCCTACCACCAGTATCTGCCTTCATTCAGTTTTAAATAATCACTGGATTGCAGGTATACTGAAACAGTCTATATTTTGTTGTTGTCTACCTATCCTGGTAGCCTCGAGGGGTTATACCAGGTTCCCCGAAGGTGAAGGCGAAGCTCACGGGACTCAGCCTGGCGAATTTTCTTATACTAGCCCTAGCATGACCAGTGCTTCGCTGAATCTACTACCGGATGGGAATCGCAACCCACCGAGAAGATCCGGCGAGAAACTCATTGGCCCTATTGTAACAGAGATAATGATATTGTAAGCGTGCTATTAGGTACATTCAAATTCCTTGCAGCCAATTAGAACAAAACAGAAATGAATATTTTAAAAACTAAAAATAAAACCAATTCATAAAGTCATTATGAGGTAAGATAGGTGCTTACTACTAGATGGTGTTTAGTTTCAAGCTTCAGTGCCCAGTAACAATACCTTTTTTTTACACGCGGGACCAAGGATGTTTTCAGGACTCTACCCACTAAACGACTCCCCTACACTCTTCGCCCAAGCGTCCGATTCCCTCCGAGGTCAGAACCCGGATTAGGTAAGGGGGTAACCGTGGTCAACACTATAACCAGACGGCGCAGCTCACCCCTAGGACGCCCGGCCGACAGAGCCTTCTCGCTGCCCAGACGGTGCTGCTGGTGTCCCGGAATGCGGGATTGCGCTTTTTTATCTCGATGATATTAATCCTTGGCAGAGGGCTAGAGTGCTGGTAGCGCGCCGCGCGGCCTCGACCCCTTCAGGTCGCCCCGTGGCCTTCACCGAGGGGAAGCCGTCATCTACAGGGGCGGGACGTACGGGCGTAATCCCTCTTCCGGCCCCCGGCTCGACGGCGCCGGATCGGTGTAGAAAGGGAAGAGCTCTCCCTCTCTCGTTCCGCCACCTTTTTCTGCGATATGGTGGACTCGTAGAAGTCAAGCGTAACCTTCCAGGACGCTTCGGACAAGTCCTCTCCTATGACCAGTAAGAGCATATACCGGTTTTTTTTTCTTTTTTTTCTTACATGTAAAGTCTTGATTTAATTAAATTTAATTATTCTTTGTCGGAATGTAAATGTATCTGGAGAAGACCAATCTCCTGTCAATTTGAATAAAAAGATTTTTGTTTTTGTAATCGCCCCAGCGGTGTGTAATTTTTTTGTGTGGGCAAATAGATTCGCGTTGTTTTTGGTCCTAAAGCAATTTGGCCAGTCAGTTTTGTTTCTATATTAATCGAGAGATTCGGAAAATAAAAAGAAACGCTAATGGCAAATGACCTTAGCGATCTCCCATTTTCGTTCATGGAAGAGGTCAACTTAAAACGGCCTTGCCCTTATTTGTTTAGTTTTACTAATTAACATTTCTGTTTATTACAAACTAGTTTAAGACTCAAGGTGTTTTTTGTTGTCTTTGTGGGCAGACGAGCATACGTCCCACCTGACAGCAAGTTTTTTTAAAATCTTACCTAGCTGAGAGCCTTCAGAGGCTATTTCAGCGTAACCTTAACTAGTACCGTGAGCTCACGGGGCTCAAACCTGACGATGTTCCTACAATGAACCCTAGCAAGAGCCGTGCTTCGCAGAATCTACCACCGGATCGGAAACGCGACCCACTGAGAAGATCCGGCGAGAAACTCAGTGGGCTGTGCCTGAGGGTTAATTTACTCGTCGAGCTCTTCGTCGCAAGTGACGGGTTCGACGAGAACGATGACCGGTGCTTGAATTACCTAAAAGCACCGTTAGTGGATCGGGAGGATCCGAGATGACGTGTTTTGGGCGACGTCGACTGCTTTCCATTCTGTCCGCAGGATCGGGAATGTGACAGCAAGTGGTCGCCGACGCTCATAACGTCAGCAACGGTAGGGGCAAGCTTTTTTTACAATAAAATCATTTTGTCTTACACTATTTTTAATTCAAATTTATTAAAATTTATTTTCTATTTTTTAGTTGGATTTTCTATAAAAGTGTATTTTGTTAGTTTTTTTTTAACTATTATTTATTTTACATTTTATAGTTGAATTTCAATATTTTCAAATATTTTTTTTAAATATTGTATTGCCATCGGTCCTAAATAAGTATACAAAATTTCGAGTTAATCCGACATTTTGAAGGGGGTCAAAATCATGTTCAAAGATTCCGTTACATACTAACATACATACGTCTGAACCTAATAAAAGCGTATTAAGAATGAATAATTTCTGCGCTGAATATCATATAGCATATTGCATGTGTGGCGGTAGCCATAATAGAAAACCAGATATTTGACAGATGCCTGAAT